TTATCTATTTAAAAATCATAAAAGCATATTTTTTGACCAACTGAAACTAGGTGAAAAAGAGCGTTGAAAAAGTATGGTTTTCACTATATTCTGAGCACTAGTGTTCCAACCCTGGATAAAATTGGTTAATGTAATTAAGTTTTTTGTATTTCTTAAATCAAGACCTTTCCAAAAATATATAATATGATATACTTTTGAACAAAGAAATAGAAAATATAGTTCGATAACTGAAAAATGCTTAATTCTCATTTCTATTTGCAGAGCCTCAATTCAAAATGGTGTTATGGAGGTCAAAGCACTTACAATGCACCAGCACTCAAACATAATTAATAAATGCGCTTAGTCCTGAAATGAATATTGACTTGTTTTTCAATGTTTATCGCTAATCATTTGCTGCAATAATTGAGAGTGAAAAAATTATCTAATCAACAATCTAAGTCGATTGTTTTGTAAAATTGAGAAGAAAATCACATGCACACATGCAGGAATAAAATTTACACACTGACAATATTGGGAGATTTATCAGGGAAAAAGATCTTGTGAATGATTTGACAGCAATAACGTGCTGCTGCTTGCAGCAGCAACCTACTTTCAAGGTTTTTCTTTGTCTCCTCAAATGCACACAAATGCACGTTTACGAACATTTTTGATCGTAGCACGAGTGTAAGCTTGCAATTATTGCAAAACTTATGCAATAAATTTGTAAACTCTTTTAATGATCAACAATAAAAATACAAAAAGTCGGACATTGAAGCTGCTTTTTTGTACATATGCTATATACATGAACTTATATTGGAAGGAACTTGAGCTTCACCTGAATGGAATCCATTAAATTAATTTTATGTCACTTTCGTGATAAAAATCGCAGAAAATAATGTTAATGTTTGTTGACTGTTAGCTTTTAGGGATCAGCTGATGGTAGGAAAAATGACTTTTGTATTTGAGTTGGCTAAAAAAAAAGAAGAATTAGCGGACATAATAATTCACTTAAAGTTCTTTGTCGACTTTCTTTTTTGTTCCTTCTTACTTCTCCAATAGTTTTATAATGGAAGCATGCAGACATTTAATTCCTTTAATAATTTATTGTCAGTCGCGTTGCAATTTCAACTTTAATCTATATGAGGTTTCTTCTAGTCTGATTTAGCTCACAGAATGAATTAAAGAAATTAGTTGTGATTGGTAATAAAACGTTTTGATGTCAAAGGTCATGTTTGAATGTCAAATGCTTTAAAGTTAAACTTTTCATCAAACATATTTGTTAAATTATTAATGAAGGATTTTCCAACAGACATAGAATGAAACATTTATTTAAAAATTTGGTTTTAAGCAACTGTTGTCATGTGATTGCATGATCAAAAATATTCAAAATTAATTTCCTTTTGCACAAAAATCGTCAAATTTTGGAGAAAATTAGAAACTACTAATAATTGATTGAAAAATATCTAGTCAGCCCATTAATAAGTCTTACAAATGACTGTCTAAATGACTCCAATAATGTTTCTTAAACTGGTTTCTATACCAACAAAATACAACTTGTACGACCTGTGGCTGCTACTGTTTATTGCTTTATTTTATTGTACGTACCCACAAATCCATGAAACTGTTGCGAGAGACAAGAAAGACTGCACATGCATATGAACATCTGATCGAACATGCTGTCGAGAGTCATGAGTTGTAAATCTATTTGTGCCTGCTAATTTAATTTCAAAGATTTCGAACAGCTGATAAGTCGCGCTTTTAAAATATAATAAAAATATAATCTTAATTTTAAAGAAGAAAAAATCCATTATGAGTTATTTTTATTGTTCTCAAATGTCAATTGGACGGCAATAAAATGTCAAACAAAATTTTTTAAAAATAATAGAATTAAACTTAATGGCTCGAAATGAATTACTTATGAACTGATAATGTTATCGCTAAAAGATTATGAAATTTTCATATCCCTTAAATTTTTTTTTTATTCCAGTAAGTTTTACATTTTAATTTCTTTTTAGGAAATATTTTATCTTTATGACTTCTTCTAGCTTATTCGTAAATTAAGATACAATTTTTCTGTTGATCTTTCCTCATTTAATTATGACATTGCTCTCAATTGCTCCTTTCTTTCCTCGTCATTTGTCTCTATTAAACTTCATGCGAGTAAAAGAATAAGGGAATATAAGTTGATGATGATTATATTCATAGAACGAGTCCGAGTTGTGTCAATTTTAATCACGTTTCATATATGAAAGAGTTTAATTTCATTATTTAATGAAGATATTATTAATATTATTGTTGTTCGCATTTATCGTATGACTGTAAAATGCTGTAAATCTTTTTAGTTTTATTTTCTCGAACATGAGATTTATTTACTTTAACTTGTCGGAGTGCTATCTGATTGAGAATCTTAGATACAAAAATATTTATAGGCAAGTCATCACTAAACAACAAGTTGCAAAAAAGGCAATCAGGATGGCTAATAATCTTGTAAATTCAAGAAAGAAATTAGAACAATCCATTCGTCACTAAATGCGTTGTTTTTAAAACTATATGCAAGATAGCAATCTTTTATACTCACTTCTTAGTTTCTCCTTCAACTCCAATTTCATTTCTCACAAATCGATTATTTATTGCCTACTTAACTGCCCTTTGCCTTAAATGTTCTGCATGTCCACATGTTTATATATAAACCACAACACAATCCATTAATTCATTTTATTTTCATTTTCAATAAGCAAAAGAGAAGAATCAGGACAAACTAATTAAAGTCGATCGGCGTATCGAGTTTTGTTGTGTTACAACCTTAATCTCATGTACCGTTAACAATAAAGAGCGACGCATTGAAGTTCTAGCTTAGTCATTTTACGTATTATAGTCATTCATTTTCATTTTATAATATCTCTTTTTTATTGTACTTAACTAAACTCTTTTTTTCTTGATGATTTGTTTTTTAATTTTATTTATTACTATGCAATATAGACTCGTGTATGCACTGTCTGTTTATGGCTGTGGTGATTTTCAGAAGAAAAAAAATATTACTTCTTCCCTGTCGTAGACACATTTCAATGTGCTAATGGATGAATAGATAAGTCTCACTGTACTTGAACTGACCCATAAATTTTAATTGAAATAGAAGTTCTTCTATTTGAAGTAAATGAAAATAAAATAAAAGGTTTTTCTTGTTATTGCTCTGCCTTTGACTTCATTAAGCTTTCAATTTCTATTCTTTTCAGAACGTATGACAAATGATGTTTAAGTAACTGTGATTCTTAACTTCTTAGACTAGAAAGTTTATATTTTAGATTAGGAACAAAATAATTGAATTGCGTTTTTTGAGGTGTCTGTTGAAAATGAAAATGTTTATATTTAGGTCAGATACATTTCAAAAGAGAGGAATGAACTCAATAATGAAAAGAAAAAAAAATTGACGTTTGAACATTGCAATGTGTTTGCTTTTGTTATAGGTCATTAATCTAAAATTGCAGATATAGAGAAACTGAATTTATCAAAAAAAATATGCAAATTAAAAGAATAATTTTGGAACGAAATATTTGACCTTGTGAAAAGCTAATCTTCGTTTAATTTCGTTTACATTTTATTCATTTGCTGAAGTTTTTTCAACATTTGTTTATTTCATGTTATAAATTACTTTAATTTAAATTATTCATGTACAAATTACATTTTCATTAAATAATTGCATCATCTATTTAAAAAGAGTTCCAAAAATTGTCAGCATGTTGGTGAATTTATGTTGAATTAAAAATTAATAAGAATCATGCATAAACAAGAAAACCACAAAAAAATATTGCGCATCAATATCATATGAAATAAAAATATAAATAGATAAGAAGCACAAATGTTCTATATTTTCTAATGTCACAGAAGCTAATAAACCTCACGAACAGGCAAACAAACTTACATACAGAATCGAAATATGAATAAAAAATAATAAAACACCTTCAAATCATGCGGTTAATGTGCGATGTGTGCCGATAATAAATAACCTTGAGATAGTTCAAGACTTTTTTAAAAGGCAGTTTTGCGATTTTTTTCTTCTTCGTTCCTTCTTCTTTCCACCTTCCATCTGATATTACACAAAGGCATCAATTTCAAGCTGAAACATGTTGAATCGCGTTTCAGAAGAAATCAGAAAGTGAGTGAGAGAGATAAAGAGAAAGATAATTTTTAAGCAACATATAATTTTTGTATGGGCAATCGATAAAAAAAGACGTAGAAATGAATGTGAGTTGAATATACAATAAAAAAAATATATAAAATGGAAAAGTGTCCGGCAAGAAGAAGATGATTTGCTTATTCATACATTGAAATTTTTTGTGATTAAGAAGAAAACTTTATTTTGCTAGAATTGATTTTCGTATATTTTTGGTAACAAAAACTTATTGGAGATGTATGAAATTTGAGGTACGAATAAATCGCTGTTGCAGTTTTATTAAACAATTCTGTCCATTCTCCTAAAAAAATATACAAAACATTGCAATTTTCGAATGCATGTTCGTCAATGCTGAAACAATATTTTAGCTTATATTCCCCTTAAAACAACCAACAAACACATTGAAATATAAAGGGGAATTACAACCAAATGTCAACAAATTCTCCGTTTTTTCCCTCAATTCTGGTTGTGTTGATGTTTTTCTTGATTGTATGATTGTGTTCTCCTCGCAAAGGAGAATTTTTATTAGGGGAACTGATGCACAAGGCAACAGATATGAGATGTAACATTACATTAACAACGTGAGGAAAAATAAGGGGCAACACATTCAAAAAAGTAACAAGGAAAGAATACAAACGATGTGAATTACATTTTGTGCAATCAAACATTTCATTTCATTAGATTTCCTCAATTCAAGCGAGTAGGACGCAATTTTGCAAAGGTTCCGCATTTTAAGTTTTGTAAAAAAGATAAAAAATTTCGTAAAATTTGATCTTGACTGAATTTGATGTAAAAGAATTTATTTTAAAATAAACTTGTAAAAAAATTCTATAAAACGCATAAAAATTCTAAAACTGAATAAAGTGATCTAGAACAATAAGCAGTGATGAAAACATTATTTGATGAGTGCATTTAAAAAAAATCCACCATAGAATTAATTAATTAACTTACAAAAAATAATCAGTGAAAAAGCAAAAGTGATACAGACAATGATGGATAAAACATATTTTATGAAAACACCAGACTAGAATTAAAGATTAAAAGACTTGCAAGATATTGCAAAAAATATCAATTCCGTGTGTGTTCGAAAAGTTGACTGAGAAGTTGAGACTTATTTTTTTTTATATCGCACAAAGTACGATGTGATAGAAATTTCGTCGTAAAAAGAGAAATAAGCGCAAACTAATCAAAATAGAAATATTTTTGCAAATTGACAATTTAGTATTTTGATAAGTGGCAAATTTTAATATATTAATAAAAAAATTGTAGAATTTTTGTGTCTGTAAATCGTGTTCGCATAATAAATCAAGAATGGCTGTGCCCTTTCACGTGCCCGAAGTTAGTGTTCCAGCAACAAGTGCTGCAACATCATCGTCATCATCTACAACGTCAGCAACATCACCGCAACCGCAAAATCCAAGCGGTGCTGCCCACAATCACTCGATGCCCATGAATGTAGTAAACAATGAATATTTGGTGCAAGCACTTTGCGAAGCACTTTATCGGTATTCTCGTGCAGGAGGTTGGTGGCGTGTTTTTATATGTTAAAAGAAAGAATGAACAATTTCAATGAGTGAGAAAGGTCGTACATAAAAATTGTAATCACTGTCGTGTGATGATTAAAATTATTTCCTAAAGAATTTTTCTTTCCGTACAATTTTTTTTTTCATTGTAATCCGATTTCGTGTTGACATAAAAAAGGTGCTTGAACCTTTACAAGATTTTTTTTTCGTACATATTCACCACAAAAAGAAGCAAAATAAAAAGTATTGGAAAATATTTTCGTGTCCCCACAAAATTGATTGCCTCAAAAAAAAAATAAAAAGTTAAATAAAATTAAGCTCGAGACAGAACATCTGGTAGGTTCCACCAAAAAAAATTGAAAATTTCTGTCTGACACTCAAAAGTCTTTTTTTCTTTTAATTTAATTTTTGTTGCTTCTTTTTTTCCTTTTAAATTTTTGTTTAATTTGAAGTTCTTGACTTTTATTTTTGCATCAAAAGTAATTAAATTTAATTTCTCCAAACACGACAATGACATGATGAAGAATTGCAGTGAAGCAATCACACCTTTAAAATATTCCTTTTTATGTTGACTTTTCTATCACTCTCTATAAAGCTATTTTTTTGGTTTTTTAATTACAAAATCTTATTAACAGCAGATTAATTTATAGAGATTCCAATTGGAAATCATATTCCATGACTTATTTCATTTCTATTTTCATGAGAAAATTTTTAAAAAAATTTTCTTGACTAAATTTGTTTTTTTGTGTCCAATTTATTAAAAGATTAAATTCTGAAATTTGTGTCGAAATTTTATTGAACTTCACACTTTTAAATATAAAGCTTGTAGTCTCTATTACACGTTAATCGATACAATTACAATGTTGAAGAAATAACAATAAATACATTGACATTCAAACGTGATATTGATCTTTATCATGCATGCCATATGATTTTCTTGCTAGTTTGCTCGTTTGTTGTTTTTCATTTTTTTACTCTACAAGTTTATTTTGTGCTGTTCGCGAATATTTTTTTATCCCCATCTACTACCATTTGTTCTCACTTTTTTTTTTAAATTGACATACAATCATAATCATCATAATTGCAAAACATGTATATATTTATTTCATTTATATGACGAGAAAAAAAATATTATTTTTATGACTTTGTCACTGACTGAATGTATATATGCTGGAAAAGTTGAGAGACATGCATAGTAAAATAATATTTTTCTTCAACACAAAGTCGAATAAAAATGAAAAAATTCAGTACACAAGTGTACAAATAAATATCATGAATTAAATCGAAATCTTTTATTAGCAACACTGAATAATTGCCAGATTGATACAATGTTGAGTTTCTTTTCTTCACTTCTGACACATGAACAGAATTGTTTTAAACTATAATTCTTATATAAAAAATTTGAAACCCTTTTTTGATTAACTTTTTTTGATTTTTGAGAAATATAAAACTATTTATGCTGGGCATTAGTTAAAAACAAATTTCCGATTTCTTCAGATATAGAATTTTAATTTTTGCAATAAAAGTTTTTAAGATCTATTTAAATTTAATTATTTCAGTCAAAATGCTCAAAACTTATTTTAAAAATTCTTATAAGATATCAAACATAATCTCCTTATAAATAAATAATTCACATTAATTATGCAAAAATAAATTTAATTCCGATATTTCGTTTTACTGTTCTTATTCCGATTCACTCTTTGTTAATTAACAAACCACAAAAATTCATGCAGTATTTAAATCTCACTTAAGGTTAATAAGCTCTTTATTGAACTCAAATATTCTCTAGACGACTTTGATATTATTTTTATGTTGTTTTAATTCCTTAACAATATAAAAATTACTTAATTCATCGCATAGTAAACAAGAACGACTCTTGTTAAAGAGTAAAATAATTTTTATCCTAAGAATTTTAATCAACATATTTTACTTTCGTAAAAACGGAAATCAATTAAAGAATAAAATGAAAACAATAAAGGAACTATCGTGAAACAAGGAAAATGTTTTAAGTGGTATGAGCAAAAACACTAAAGTTGCAAACAGCAAGAACGCTTAGCTTCATGATATTTATTCTGAAGTTCATAAACTTTCAGCAAAAGAACTAAAACAAAATCAGTATGTCAAAGTGAGCATAAAGCATAACTCTGCAATATCTCAAAAAAGGTTCTTCCTTTTGTATGGTCAATTATTGTAATCTACACACAAGTAGTAGCTGAAGCAATTTTTTAGTCTGTTTGAATATATATCCACACTAAATGGAAGGACATTAAAGGTTAAAGAAACCGTAAAAATACAACAAGATTGTGCTACAAACGAGAAAGAGGAGCACAAAGAGGAAAAGAAAAGAATCATAAAATTGCGAATCTTTTTTCTGCTCTCTGCCATTGACATTGAAGATTCAATAAAAATGTGTCCATTTCATATGCATGCATAAAGGAGAAGGCAACCTTAATGCACACTCTAATGTGGAAATTTTATTTATGAGCCAAAGAAAATCCCTTATTTGTTTCTGTGTGTATTCCATAACATATTAAAAACATGTGTGAAGATTCGTTTTTAAAATGCACGACTTAGTGCTGTTTAAAATCAACTTCTTTTCTTTTTAAATTTAACTTCTCTTTCACTCGCATGTTGTTGTTTATATTTCACTCGTGACGTTGTTTAGACTCAGCCAGTAGTCAATATATTTATGCACATATGAGAACAATAAAAAGCATGACAAAGATTAAATGTTTCTCCTTGACATTCAACTCATAATCTTATGCCTTCTGTGCATGTATACACAAGAATATTAATAAATTTAAAGAGTGAGTGAGCTATAGAGATTCTAATCGAGTCATATCTGGTGGTTTTAGAAATTTCATTTCTAATATTTAAAGACAAACAATTTAGAGTTTTAAAATATGAACTCATTTACAGTCAAAAGATCAATATAAAGATTCTAATAATACATATAAAGTCATCGATCAAAATAAAACAATTGCGACTCTCTGGAACCTCTCAATATTAAGTGTAGTCAATGAAATAATTGCTGCTGATTGAGATTAAGCATGTGCATATATACATCAAATTATGTAATCTAGTCGAGCGCGCGAGTGAGAAGCTGAAAATACATTATTTAATAAATTCATAAATTAATGTGCAATATCGTTAATCAATTGAGTATATGAGACACCTCCAAATGCCTTACAATAATATTATTTTTTTTTCTAACTCAATTCATGCACTGCAAATAGCAGAGTCGTCACAAAACTTGAATAATTTTTGCATAAATTAAATTGAAAAAAAAAATCTTTATATATTGTAGCTTGTACGCGCTATGAATGTGTATCCGACGAGATCTCGAAACAAAGGAAATGCAGTCGTGTAGTTTACAATTTATCGTATATTATTCTTCTTATTTTCTATTCTCATTTGCACAGCAAATTAGCATTTAAATTGTGCAAATATTATAGCTTATTTATTAAGAGAAATGAAAAGAATTTTTAGAATTTACACAGCTGATTTTGATAGTAAAGAGTTAAAATATCGAGTCTTGTATGCAAATGTTGGAGCATTGCGCACCCTTGAGAATCCTCATTTGCAGTAACTTAAGCAACACGAGCTCATAATAAAAATAACAAAAATGAAAATGAGCAATATATAAGCAGCATAAGTAAGCGATAAGATCGTCGTATTTATGTATACACAACTCAATGGCATAAGACATCAAGTGCATTCACAATTTCTGTTCTTGTTCACACATGTTTTTGTTATTTTAACTTCTCTTTACTCTCTATCTCACTCTCGTTCCTTTAGCTTCATATTTCAATGACATTAATACTCGTACTTACTTATTTATCATGAACATGTTCATATATTAATTATCAGCATAAAGGAGAATAAAAAGAATAATGAAACATTCAGCTGATGAGAATCGTGACCGATGTTATTAATATGTATACACATGAACATATTTTTTTTAAATTTTTAATTAAATTATTATCAAAAAAAAAATATTGTTCAATCGATAAACGGGAAATTAAATGGATGAAAAACTTTTAATGTTCTAAAGACATTACGGGATTTGTTGTAGTTTTGGTGACGGTTCGTTTCGATCAAAAATATTTCAAGAATTGTATAGAGCAGTAAAACATATAAGGACATCTCAATAAATTAGTAAATGTTATTTATTTGCTTCATTCTAAAGCTTTAACCTTAAGAGTGAAGCTTGTGGCAACATTACTTAGAAAGTAATTTATGTGATTCAATTTTCTCGCTGTTTAGTGTTGCATACTCATATCTGCAAGTGAAAGAGAAGCTTCAAGGAGAAATTACACATGAAATATTCAATAGTTAACAAAATTCACACGATAAATTTTGTGTGGCAGTGAAAATCTTGGCATTGAGATAACTTCTACTTTAATAATGCTGCAATGTTCTTTGTTGTTGAAGGTAATCTTTGGATAAAAGTATTTTCTAATAAAAGAAAATCCTTTCTGCTTTAAGACATCTTAAATTATATAACCAACTCGGATAAAAAAATGAAGCTGGTCATAAAGTTGACAAATATTTAAAATGAACTTTGACTGAAATTCAAGCTGAATATGGGAATTAACAATAAAAAACACTTCCTATGCTAAGTTGAACATTAGTCATACAAAATATACTCTCGTAATCAGATAAATTATGTCAAATTAAACACTTCCAATTGTAATATTCTCATAATTAAAAATTAATCATATTACTACTGCCTAACTCAGTCAAAGTACTGAGCCTATGCACAACAAAAAAAAAATAATTCTCCCATTCATCTAAATTACTCATTTCCAATTAAATTTTCTAAACTGGATAAATTGATTGACACATGTTGCACTTGTGAATATTTTTTTTCGTCAACAATTGAATAAAATTGCACATCGAATGCATAGAATTTTAAAATACTTTCTCTCTCTATTCCCGCATTATGTTCATGCATAGAGGAAGGAAAAAAGTATTTTTCACTTTGCTGCTCGCGCACGAGATGCATTTTTAGAATCTGAACCTTGTACTTTCCCATATGTGTACTCAGATGATTCATTGCGAGCTAATTCCATATATTGTATATATTGAGAAGCTATAATATAGAACAGTACAAAATGAGTTGTTGAAAAATGCGGAAAAATGAAATGCAACCACCCGTAAAGTAATTAACTCCATTTAAACTTCTTTCCTCTCCGTTCTATAATGCTACTCTGTATGTCTCTTCTGCTGTTGAGTACTGACGCTTTTTTCATTTCAACGACTTTTAAGCTCAAATGTGTTTTGGTTGTTGATTATTAATTGATTTCGATCGTCACCGTCAGACTGGTTGACGACTATTTTCTGTGGTAATTAAAAATGTATCAGATGACGCTTTACTTAATTACAATGTACTTGACACGTTTCACTTAATTAGAGGGAAAATTTTTCATCGACATTCTTCTTATTTTAGCTTAAAATAAATTTTTTCGTTCAAGAATGAAAATTTTTTTCTTTAAATTTTCTTTTCATTCATTTTCATGCGATGAAAATTTTAGCCTTGGAATTTTTTACTTTACATGTGCAACATTCGCAGAAAATTGGAACAAGAATCATAAAATTGCATTTAATTTTCTCAAATTACGTAATTAACGACAATTGTGTATGCTGACAAAGTTATTGCTCGACAATGAGACTCGGTTTTAATTCCATATTCAAATTTAAATCTATACTTACTAAGAATTACTCATACACAATAAGTTAATAAGCTTCTACATTTTTGTTTGTATTTATTTTTATTTGTCTATAGATTTTCACAAAGAACAAAGTAATTACAAGAGCAGCAGAAGCTCAATTTTATTATTACTAATGCGATTAAACAAATACTGATTTTGTAAAGATCATTAGAATATTCTATTTTAAGACTAAAGCGCATTTTCTATAAGAATCTGTAAATCACTCAAATCGATGAGAACTAAACAGCAAAAATATCAGAATTAATTCGAATAATGCTTATAAGCCTGAAAATTGTTAGAAAAATCAAGCAAGTCAAAATGAACAATACACAACATCATTAAAAATTCAAAACACGCTTAAAAAGAGAAGTGATTAAGCGGCAATTAACGAAAATGATCTTTTTATGATTGATTCATTTGAGTAAACAATAGGAAAATAAAAGATTATTGCTAAGAGATTAAGAAATTATTGTGACTAGCTAGACATGAAAATTGTTTAAAGACAAATTATCTCACGCATTACGCGTAATTAAATTTTATTCCATGCCTCACAAATAGAAATATCAAAGTCCACAAGTTCAGAAAATGTTGTAGGAATGCACTTGAAAATGCCGGTACAAATAGGAAGTGTTTAGAGCTAATTTACTTATTATTGTGCTTATCTACATTCAAGTTGAAGTATGTTTAATTGAAATTTTTTTACTTATGCCTCACACAATCGTAAATAATTGGAAGCAAACGTTTTGTGTATGTGAATAAATTTACAATTGCATTTTTTTTTTTCGTTTTATATCGTTAAGTGAGCGTCCAATAATTGCAAATATTCAAGGTCAAGAGCAGCAGTTTAATCGCATTATATTCAGTTTTTATGCAATACAAATTTATTTCCAATGCAAGCTTTTTATTTGAATAACTTACAGCTCAGTGTTTCTGAATATGAATTTTTAATAATGTTTAAGTAATGTTAAGAACACAAGTTGCAAGAGTAAAGTTGTTTTTGAAAATATTCCACATTTATTGACAAATTTTAAGAGGCAAAATGTAGATTCTTCTTATAAAAATATCTTGCTATCAAGAATTTATATTAAGTTGCATAAGATTTATCAATCATCGTGGTAGAAGCAATAATTGACCATAGTATAGATGTATCATTTAGAACTTGTTATAATGTTATGATTACTAGTTATTTTCTTAAATACTTTGTTGCACTTTTATTGGCTTTAGTTCAATAATTTTTATATCGTTTTGCTATAATTCATGCAATAATAAAAAAATTCTCATGAAAATTTCCTCGTTTGCTAACTCATTCAGTTCATCGACATACAAGCATATTCATCATACTTAAAATTAATATTTCAATATCAATTAAATGCTAATAATCTTTATGTCCACGATTTTACATTTTTTTTTATAAAGGTACATTGACATCACCTCCAAGTCCATCGTCGACATGCACAACATTATATGGTAATGGTGAAGTATATTTCAACTTTAATGATCTCCACAATTCGCACCTAGATGACATTTATGGATCGCCGCGTCGTCAACGTAGTCATAGTTTGTCAATTCCACCATCATCACAATCGTCAAGGTAAATTTTATATTCTTTTGTTCTCTTCAAAAATTCACTTCTAACATGCAACATGAAATTATTGTTCATAAAAACTTTATTTTCATTTTTAATTCACAGAACTATATTTTCTTCACGAGGACACGAAATGACTGACGACGAAGACGATTCAACCGGTGAGAATTTCTCTAATCCCAATTACATAGAAGAACATTATAACTGCATGACATTAAGGGAGCAATTGCAAGAATTCCCTGGTCGTGTGCCACAACGAAAGAGAAAAACAACTGCAACAGTTTTGGGAAATCCGCAACAACAAAAATTACACAAGCCAAAGGTGAGATAGAGAACGAAATGGATGTGGTGAAAGTGAAAAAAAAATAAAAAGAATAAAACAAACTTTTTCATTGTCGAGAAGGTTGAAAAAGAAAATCTGTGCAAGAGAAATTACATTTTATCCCTTCTGGAAATAGAAAGTAATCTCGTGAATTGCTAACATAGAATAGATTCAAGAACAAGGGAAATTGAAGTTTCCTTTTGTTAAATGTAAAAGACATACACAAAAAAATGAGAATTTATCACCCTAAGAGAAATTATTAACTGTGCGATATTGAAGTTGTCGTGTCAGAGATTTATTTGTTTGTCTTGTCGTGTTTATAAGATAAAAAGTTGATGAAATTTTTTAATAGGGTCAGTTGTTACAAATTTAAGTCTATGTGAGAGGATTGTGATTTTTAAACCCAGTTCTGAATAAAAAGTTTCCTTCTTTATTTTATTAGTCAATGACCCCGAAAAAAAAAATAAATCAATTCGTGTATTATGTTCGTGATTTATTTCAAGGACATTTTATACTGTCTAATAGGGACATGTATAGTCTTTGAGGTTTTTTCTCTTTTATCTATGGATAAAAAGTCATAAACATATTGGGCCATTAAAAAGATTTATGTACAGCTATTGCACTTTTGGAGTAAATTTAAAACTATTTTTTAATAATATTTCTTATTTCTCTTCTCAACAGGAACAAAAATTTGCATGGTCAACAATAGTTGCACTAGGCGTGTTAGCGGTAGGCTGTGGATTGTTAGCTACTCGGTGAATTAAGTTATCTTTTTAGTTATGAAAATATAAATTTTGTTTATATCAAAAATATTTGGAAAAACTAACAAAAAAATATTCAAAATGAATTAAAGTTTAAGAAAAAAAATTGAAATTGTGTAATTAAAAATTGCTTTAGGCTTCATAATATAGAAGTCATATATATAATTTTTATTTGCTACGTAGAGAAACTTGAGACATGAATAATAATTATATATTTGTAATTTTTTAACGTAAAGACATGCCGTGAAAATTCACTGCCATAATAACTATTTGGAATATTATGCTGTGTGTTTTGATAAACGGAATCAGATATCCCACATTTTTTGATAGACTGCTCTTGTTTTGACATCATATAGCGAAGAAAACTTAAATTTTGATAAGAAATAGAAATTCATTTTTTTGATAAAATTATGAAATATAAAAAAAAATATTTGGAACTTAAACAAGCATGATTCTTAAAATGCAATGATAAAAAATAAAAATAAGAATTAATATTAATATTTTTGTAGAGAGAAAAAAAAAGTTTCCACAAAATTTATCTCACATTTTTGATACATAAAATAACATAAACTTCATGCTCTATAATCACCATATAAATTTTTATTTTCCTAGCAAAAAATATGGTAAAATTGAAAAATTAAAATTTATCTTCTTATAAATGTACACACACAAGAGAGACGATAACAACAAAAAAAAATTAACAGTAAATTTAATTAATTAAACATATTGAGAGCAACAACAGGCATAAAAAAGGATTTAAACCAAAAAGCGATTTTGTGATTTTGAAGTTCGTTTTTTTCATAGCGAGTATTAAAAAGCATTAAAGTATTTTTAAATAAAAAATAATCAGACTTAACCGCAAAATGGAATTTAAAAATTTTTAAATCCTTTTTTCTCGATGAGATGAAATTGAATTGAAAGCATTAATCATTATTTCGGCACGTTTATAAAAGAAAATTTAATGTTTAAATTACTTAAAACAATGCTTGGTTTAAACCGAAATTAAATACATGAGGGTTGATTTTATATCTAAATTAATACATTGCCGTGGTTTCAATAATTACCTTACAAGAATTAACAACTTTTGTTTCAAATTTTGATTTAGAGCTCTTTAAATTAAAAAAAAAAATATCAGTCAATTTAGTTACCAAAAATAGCAAGTCAAAACATAACCATGGCAATGTATGGCAGCTTAGTTTTAATTACTACTATAACTACTTATTAGAATTTTCTTTAGGTTTCAAATTTTGCTAAAATACGAAAATAAGAGTCTTCTTGGTTCTTTGAAAGAACATATGAGATTCAGATTTTAGCAATATTTTTGCCAATATATTTCTGTCCAATAATTTGATAGCACATAGAACACATTGAATCAATTTTATGATTTTTTATGACTTAATTAACATATAACAATTATTTTAATTTCAATCCATTATTACCGAGATCTTTCAGTTCTTGAAAGCTCATCTAAAGCAAATTGTGATCAATTTATCAAGTTCGACTTGTTCGGAAATGATTCATGGCATCCCGTTCTGAGTCATTTTGAAGTGAAAGTTTCTTTTGCGTCGAAAATGTCGAACTTGAGCCAAACAAAACCAATAATTAAAATATTCAACAAAGAAATATGAATTTTTTTCCAAGAAAAAGTAAAAAAATATAAAGATATATATTATATTATATATTTCTATACATATATTATTAAGAATTATGATAAATTTTTTATAATTCATGTTTTTTATGAAGAAAAAAAAAGTAACAAAAAAGCAAATTATAAAAATGAAAAATCTTTTACAAAAGGATGTTCAAAAAGTTGTAAATAATTTGTAATTTTTCACATTTTTTTTAAATAATAGATATTTGTGGCGTGATTCGATTTAAAAAAATATAGTTTTAAGGAAAATATTAACATATTTTAAATAAAAACTCGAAATGTTTGCATTCTAAAAATTTCTTATCTTATTTGACTCTAAAATCCAGTTTAATTCCGTTCGTCTTTAACAATTAATGCTTACAAATTGAATTTTTTGATTGCAATAATGTACTTAGCACACACAAACACAAATTTATGATGATGACGATAAACAGAATTTGAATAATATATTACTTTGCAATATGTAGCATTGTAATATTTTTAATGATGTCTAGCAATCGTCTATTATGCATCATTGACTTTGATAAAAGAAAAAAAAAATATAAAAGAAAATGTGAATTGAAGAAACAGAAAGCAAACATTTCGTCTGATAAGTTATAAGTTACAAGCACAACAAGAAGAATTTTTATGTTGTAAGAAGAAATTTAAAGAAAATAATGTAAAAAGTAATGGTTGGAGATCCTTGTGGAGAGTTTTTAATGAACTGTGAAAATATTGACAACTCAAAGTTCATTGAAAACGTTGAAAGCTTCAACAGGATCCATCATTTCGCATAAAATATCAACTTTTATTATAAAAATATAAGAAATGGTTGGCAATTCCCATGGACGATTTATTTGTATATTCCAAAGAGAAAAAAAAAATTCTTTTCATTTTGATCTCAATTAAATTAATTGGAAGGATAGTAATACCGCCCAATGAGTAAGAAGATTTAAACCATGACCAGTGATCTCTCAAAAAGAAAGAAGTAATAAGCAAAATTGAACCAAATAATTGCCATTATAATTATCTTTCATAGTATCTCAATAATGCTTATGAGAAAAATTTTGTAGATTTATTTATGTTTAAATTCTATTCTTAAGTTTTATTTAATTAAGCATTTGTCTCATAATTTAGTTTAAATTTATACTTTTGGTCTAAACCGTTTAATAGAAGAAAAAAAAAATAATATTTTAGACAATTTAAAGCAATATCTTTTTATTAATTCATCAATGCTTGAAAATAAAAAAGAAGATGCAAATGGAATTTCTTTTAATAAAACATAATGAAAGTAGTATGAAAACTATTTTTTAAATCAGCAAAAGAATGTCAATTTACTCTGCAAAAGAGTTCTTTGTGCAAACCTTGCATTTTTAAATAGATATAGGGTCGGGGATTCCATTGAGTAATTCAGTGATTGAACCTGAAGACACACTGGAACTTACCTGTCGTATAAAAGTTCCAAAAACTTACTCATTTTAAACTATATCTCATCCAAACTTATAAAACTTCTTTTTTGTTTGTTCAGTTTTTATGAAAAAAAAAATTCTTGTTTGTTTATTCATTTTTAAGTATGTCTAGCCCTTTCGTCTTCGTTGCGGTCTATCGTGCAAGCAAATTAATTTTCTGTATCATAGTTTATTTTCCTATCCTGCTTCTGTTGTTTTTGTGTAGTGAAAATTTTAATCAAAAATGGAAAAGTTTTCAGATGATCTCTTTAATACAAAGAATAAGTAAATATTTCTCTTTTTTCACGTAATCAAAATTCTTAATTATTTTTTGATCACAAAAAAATGTTTGTTTTTGATGAAAAAATTAATTAAATTTACCTTTTTAAATGTTTATGAAAATCTTGTGTGAAAAACATTTCAGACGTTTTTATTTATTTTTTAACATTCCAAAACATAAATTGACAACTTTGATATTACTTGCGATTGTTTTTGAGGTCTAAACAAAATATTTTAACTTAACCAAAACTCGTTAACAAGGAATGAGAAAATACAAAGCATAAATGAAATAAAAATACAAATTCAAAATTGAGATTAAAAGTGAAAATCTCATTACTCAAATGAATATAAATAAATTCATGTTTGGCATGAAGAATTAAGAGACATTCTACAAATATTTAAGCTTAAAAAAAGCTATCACAAGTTTGAATGAGCTCAGCAAATAATTTGCAAATAAAAAAAAATAATTAATAAATATTATACCCAATAGATGAAGGGTATCAAAACAATTTCATCTCAATATGAATCAACTATATTATCTTTAATATATCTGTTGAGAATCAACTATTTTGTAAGATCTTTCGCAAGTAAAATCAAAGTTCAATTTTTGGAATTTAAAATTTAAAGACACATTTCATCACTAATTCGAACTTAATTATAAAAAAGAAAAAATAACTGATTACTGAAAAAAGAGAAATAATATGAAATTATAATTGGAATTTAATTGAAAAATTTAAAAGTAAATAATTTGTTAAGATTTGTAAAAAAATATGTATAAAAAAATTTGGCAATGTAAATTTTTCTCTGAAATGAATGCTGGAATTTCCGTTTGTTTTGTTATTATTTTTAATACAATTAACAACAAAAAAAAATACATAGACACATATATATTTCATTTTATTAAAAAATATATAAAAAAATTTTTTGGTTCAAGTGACTCACAGCCACATTTCAATAATTCCAACAAAATAATTCAGAAATCAGAGTTGAACAAACTTTTTGTATGATTTTTGGTATCAAATGTTGAGAATCATATTAATAGCTTAAGATACTTTTGTGAGATGAAAAGATATTTTTGAGGGCACAGTCATTTAATTCATATTAAAATATTCCCAATAAAAGGGATGCAAAAATTCTTTCAACTTTTAAAGTATCTCAAATTATTAAAATCTCTACTAAATCAAAACTATCAAAAGTTTGAATTAGTATCTCTGAATTTTTATTTTTTTATTAAAAAACGTACATAAAATTTAATTACAACAAAAAATACAAAATTTCTTATGTGAAGAGAGAAATAAATAGGATTGAGGAAGAAGTTTAAGACAAAAAGCGTACAAAAATAATAAAGAATTATAATAATTAGATGACAAAGTTAATGAATATATATTTAAACAAAAAAGATGAAAAAAATTGTAATAAAATAATCAAGAAAAAAGGGCTGATGAGATAGTACAACATGCAATCAATTTAAAAATGAAAATACAAAACTTTTAATACTATAAAATTATTAAAAAAAAAATATTTTGTAAAGGTAGAATTTCAAAAACAAAATCAATTTGATATATTTACATAGACATTCATTCGAAACATTAAAGCATATATTATATATTAGAAGCATATATCTATACATTCACATAATTTTTTAACAAACAAAAACTTTTTCCTTATCTTTCTCTCGATGTTCTCTCGATGTGCTTTAAATTACATTTTAATAATAACAAAAATAGAAACTTTGAATACAAACAACACAAAATATTAATAATACAATTTATAAAATGGTTTCAGATTCAAATTAAGGCTCGATACAAGCTATACTTTACAATTTATAAAATATTCAGAATTTTTCTAAAAGGTCTTTTGAGACATTCAAGCAAATATTTGGGTTAGATGTTTTCCAAAGACTCAAAACTTTTTAAAAATCTAGAATCCCTGGAAATGACGTTTGCCTCCAACGAACAAAACCTTTCGTTTGATAAAATTTCATATATTTACACACAAGCTAGAATTTCCGTAGACTGTTTATTAAATTATTAAATTACAAAAAAACACACACATAATAATATTCAAGACAAATCAGCTTTGAATACTGCATTGCAAGCACTTAATACTTTTTCTTGTAAAGAGTTTTAGGGGTTTTTATGACGAATATAAAATTTATTCATTCTCGAGTGCTATAAAAATTTTATTAAACAAAAGAGAATG